ATGTTAATGAACTCATTTTCCATACTTGTAACATGGAACTGTTCACTTCAAAAGTATATAACCAACAGAACATGAATACCTATGGCAGACAAGTATTGTTTATATAAAATGGTAGCATCTTGAATTCTTATCATATGTAGCTCTTTATTTTTTTTTCCACAATGTTACATCTAAGTTGTATTCTAATACTACAAGTCTCATTTGCCACATTACCTAACTCTTTTATCTTTCTTTTGTCATCCTTTATTCTTTCTTAGACAAAATATTTTGGTTGTATTCCAATACTATAACTTGATGTAGGGAGCTTCAACTTAAGAACGATTTATCTTATTAGAAACTACACTTCAATATCTTCAACCATGATGAATTTGGTACCCTAGTTCGTATGCAGCCTCATTTTTACACTATTTTGAGAATTCACATTATATTTAAATGTGTAGATTCATGATGTTTCATACATTACATTCCATCTTTTGACACGTTTATTTTATTTTTTTTCAGGTTATTCGTTCGCAAATTTTATATGTGGAAGATTTCAATATGATAAAGAGTTGCCGAAACTATTTGAAGATACAAGTTTATTTTAAAAGTTGTGATATTAATATTTTTGGTTAGTACTTCCTTTGGATTGTGTAGATTCAATGAGATATATTTTCTTTTATGAATTAATAATATTATGTTTTCTAGCATTTGCCTACCTTTGTTTCCATCAAGAGACACTCTTTTACTATTAGCGATATTTAATTGAATTTAATTGCCATTAAAATAGAATCTGAAAGGTAAAAATAAGATATTTACACGAAGGATACAATAGTCATTCTAATTGCCACAAAAATGTGTTTTTAAAACTACTGACGTTTAGCAGCAATTTAATTGAACTTATCGGCTATAAAAATGAACGCTAAAAGAGCAAATTTAGTTTGTTATGGATTTAATTACCGGCCAAAAGTATTGCCGCAACTAATTGCCGATAAAACTAACGATCTTTAGTGGCAATAAATCATACCATTTACCAGCTTTTGTGCGAATAGCCGCCAAAGGCTTTGCCGACCCCCGCATTGCCGGCTAAATACCATTGGCAGGTAAAGGATATAGCGGCTATTGTAATTACCGCTAAAGACATTTTGTAGTGCCGCTAAAGTCCCTTTTTGTGGTAGTGTCAATGAAGAATATTCCTCAGTATTAAATACGCAGCGGTTACAACGAATTTTGGCATTCATGACCTGCCATTACATATTCATCAATACCCCCATTATTGTCATTTAAGAGGGGTTTGATCTTAGGACCTTGTTCCCTAGGTATAGCTATAAATAGTGGCTTCAATAACCATTGTAAGAGAGGAAAATTGTGACAAACTTATGCTACACACTATTCCTAAACTAAATAATACTTTATTTTCTGTCTAACGTTATTTTTATTGCTGCCTTCAGAAGCCTTGCTCTCGGAACCAAGCTATTTGTTATTCATCACGATTTCAACGCTAAGTCTTATATTTTATTTAATTCATTTATCATTTTGGGATCAAATTGATTCGTTTGCCTATAAATCACACTATAAATTCAATTATATCATTTTACTGGTAAACAACTTGGAAGATTTTAGTTGCACCAAAAGCTGTTCTATATTTTTAGTTTTTTACATTCTTTCTTCTACAAAACATGAGCCCACCTCTCTAATAAAAAAATAAAAAAAATAAAAAAAAAAAAAAAAAAAAAAAAAAAAAAAAAAAAAAAAAAAAAAAAAAAAAAAAAAAAAAAAAAAAAAAAGCTCATGCCTAAGAAAAAGTATGAGGGAGGGTCCAGACTCTTGGGGATCGTCACCTTACCCGCCGTAAGAAAGGTGAAAATACGAGTGAGGACTCCAAGTAAAGGTGAAAATAAGACAAAAGTAGTACCTCTCCCTTTAAAAAAATAATACAATTGTGAAAAAATCAATTCGTACTTTGATTTACTTTTTTCTTTGAAATATTTTTGCGATAACAACACTCGCGATACCCACATATGGATCAAATTCGTTTTTCCAAGACGAAACTCAAAAAATACTATTTTGATTTGTGGCAAGGATCAGACCCTAGCTAGTATATCTAAATTTACATGTTATGGACGTGTTCTCCACTTATTGAAATGCTTGAATGTCTAGGGATTTTTCTTGGACGTGTCAAGCATACCAAATAAGGACGGACAAGGCTCAGAACGTAGAATATTTATCAACTTACATGTTATGCTATGGATCATCGAACTCATTGAATTGGTTGAATGTCTAAGACATTTCGATCGTTGGACATGCCAGGCACACAAAATAATTAAGCACTGAATCACAACACAAAGAGAGAGAGGAGACTCGATAAGTGTAATAGGTTCCATAAAATAGTGGTGAAGCCAAGAATAATAAGGACATTCATGGGTGTTCGAAATTTAATGTATAAATATAAAAAATAACAATTGATTTATATGTACATAGTATAATTTTCTGTCAAAAGATGGTCAATTAATTATTTTTTGCTATAGCCGAACTCAGGATTTGAACTATGCAGATTCGGGATAACACTGAACTTATTGACCATTGGACTTGCTAGTTTCAAATTTTTATGTATATACTTATTAAATTTCTTAATACATATATAAGATGTGAGTCAAAGCTATTAAATTTCTTAATACATACTCATCTGTTTCAATTTATGTAAACTTATTTCCTTTTTAGTTTATAAAAAAAAAAATTCATTTTTATATTTAAAAATAATTTACCCTGATTCAATGAGTTATGGGCGGATCCAAGTTCAATAGAGTGGGTGCTTCCATTGTTTAAGAGTCCGAGACGGTATATTTTATATGAAATTCTTGGAAATTTGCTCCATAGTGACAATGAGCACCCACAAGCAAAACTTGGGGCTGGGTGCTTTGGTTTTGAGAGAGGGTTTAAGGTCACTTTTATCTCTTTATGTCGGACAATCAAAACTTGACGGAAGCATTTTTATTTACCGTTAGAAGATCCTCTCCTTATTTTCGTTCTTTTCCCTTTTGTGGTTTTCCTTATTTCCTTATCACGTATCAGTTATACTTATATTATGTGTTTACCATAATTAAAAGCATTTGAGCCCCTATTACATTAAAATTTTGAATCCGTCGCTGTTTATAATTACACAAATTATATGTCTTATTGTATATTACAAATTCAATTTTTTTCTTATATTTGGTATCCAGTCAAATAACTTCGCATAAATTGAAACGAATGAAATATAGAAGATGAAGCTACTGCATAGATTCGGTCGAACGTGTAACTTCCACTATTGCACCAATGTTCTAATTTGATTTTATTTCACAGTTAATATATAACTTTGGTCCTGTGGGTAAGATGGGTTTGGTCCATGGCTTTCTGTCACCTCTACCATATGTAGCTGAGCGAAAGCCTGTGACCTATTCTAGTCTATATCTTGTAAAGTTGAGTGCAGTAGAAGTAGTACTACATCTACAAAAACACGCATGCTATTCTATTTTCTTTCACGTGATTTTAAAGTGCTAGACCAAGTACAAAGTAGGAGTACTAACCTTTGCAGTTACCAATAGAAGCGAGAAAATACCCATGTTTTTTTCTAGCACTTGCACTTGTCATATTCTCCTGGTTATCTGTGTGTCAAAACGTACACTGAAACAAGAAAATTACTTGACTTTTCAAAATCCGCGCACTTCAACTTGTTTTCCCTCGTCAACTAATTCTGATACATTATTCTCAATTTTGTTTACAGAAACTATGTGCTCTGCATCTTCTACCTGTTGCTGCTAATTAGTGGTGGTACCATCTCTACTATACCTATAATTTACGGTTTTTCCTTTTGACCTTATTAAAACATAGGCTGATCATAATTTGTTTGCCGGAGTTTAATTATCATAGAAATTAAAATAAGTTTACAGAAGATGCTTTAGATTGTCATTTCTTATAAATATATCCTTAACATAGGTTTCTGTTCTTTTAATTAAATTGACAAAAGTAGTACAGTATTTCACTTCAAATGAAAATATTGAGGATCACTACTGATAATGGTAACCGAACCTTACTATTGGAGATCCCACGATGAAGGTTCGATGTGGTAACAACAAGCTTACCAATAATTGGATAAGTACTATAAATTTTTATTTATTTATTATCTTAGTCCCACTATAAATAATTTTCATTGTAATGGGTAGGAAGAGCACATGCTATGTAAAATTATAGTAGCAAATAATGTAGGATATGCTTCTGTTACACATATTCTTGAAGAATTTACCTATTTAAGTGTGATTTTGAGGTGCAGTTTGCAAGTTAAAGTGCAACCCAATTTATGAACTCAAAAAAAAAATCTCGTATAATGTGATGTTAAATTGAAAATCAGGCTAAAAAGTCCTAGTTCAAGATTAAAGTTCACTATGGTCCTTCAGATCGGATTTTTTCATATAAGTGATGTTCAAGTTCACAAACACCTTAACCTATTGCATTATATAAGACTGCTTTTGTGTTCCTTAAATTCTTGAATCATGTGAGAGATTGTTGAAATTTAGTTTAGTGATCTGAAATTTAATGTACCTATCGTGGAAAAGGCACAATATTTTTTGAAAAAGATATGTCCAATCCTTTTAGGAGACATCTATTAATTAATTGAAGAGATGTATCCAATCTTTGTAAAGAGACACATCTATTTAGAAAAAGAGCAATAGTTATCATTTTGCTCTTTATAAATACTTTATCCTATTGCAGAAATTAACACTAAGAATCTTCGTCATTTGAATCTTCATCTTGTCATTAATCAATTTCAATCTGAGTTAATCATCAAAGATTTGCATATTGAAACTTGCTTTCTGCATTAACTTTGCAATCGAAATAATTAAATTACATACTTGCCTAGTTCAATCTAAGATACACATCTAGTGCATTATAATTTTTTTTCACTATATATTCAAGCCAAACGTGGCTGGCCATATATATATATATAGTTAAGCTGCAGCACAAATTATTGGTAGTTTGATCAGTAAAGGAATTGGATGACTATGAACTTGTTTCATTAACAAGTCTGGTAGTTACAAAACAGTATGAGAAAGACAAAATAGAAAAGAAGGAAAATACAAAGTTTTTTATCTATAGGAAATCCAATCAACTATCCTTTTAAACCTACAATGAGCATCTTGACAACCCATCATTCCTAACAAAGATGGGACTTTGACATGAAAAATAATTATGAGGCTGCAATTTTCTCAAACAGGATCAACCTATTATCAGCCAATCTAGTTTTGTACGCAGATTTTTTATACTCAAACCACGTAAACTCTTTGTACAAGCTGTCTTCTCCCTCCATTAGTGATGCCAAAGGTGCTATCTTTTCACTCAAAGGCGGTCCTCCAAAATATATCATTGATAGCCTTGATTTCATACTGTTTGCCAAAACTCTATGCTTTACACTCTTAAACTTCCCGTTAGTCATAACCTGCCATAAAAATAAGACCAGAGTATATAAGGTATTTTAACATGCACCTGTTGTTTATACAAAAATAATGCTAGTAACATTTAACCTTAACGGCGTAAAAAATATCGAACCAATTAAGCAATGCGAGAAAAACCGAACCAATTAGGCACTTAACCTTAAGAGGTCGTTTGGTATGATATTAATCCTAGGATAAAAATTTTGTATCATCTTATCTCTTATTTAGTTACTAATTCTGCGATAAGTTATACTAGGATTAAAATAGTATCATGATAACTTATACTTGTAACAGGGTGGAATAGTAATTCAAAAATAAATTATCCCAGAATAAAACAATAAAATTAACAATCCCAAAATTATTACAACATACCAATCAGTCAATAAAAAATCATACCATGACAATTAATCACTGCATATATAACTAATCCTAGCGTAACTAGTTATACAGTAACTTGTCTTCAATGAACGACCCCTTAAGAGAATATATATCATTTAACTATGATAAACCGAACCAATTAGGAAATGCAAGAAAGCAATAAGAAGAAACTTCCTCTAGACAAGAACATGAATGTGCAAATAAATAAATGAACATTTTAATGTTGTTTAACGTGCACAATGCATCGAGAGGTGTACCTGCAATGAGTCACCAACATTGACGAAGAAAGAATTTGGATCAGGTGGGACAGAAATCCAGTGGCCATTTTTGAGTAATATTTGAAGGCCGGAAGTGTTGTTGGACCTCAATACTGATATGATTTGTGGGTCAGTATGCTCACCAAATCCAATCAAATTATTGTCATTGAATTGTTGAATCTCAGTACAAGGGGGATAGTGATTGAGCCTGAAAACAGAGTCACTCTTTTCGTCCATTAGAAGTTTACTGAAAACATTCCGGGGATGAATCTTTAATCCCTCTGCTAACATTTCAAGAATCTCACACGCCATTTTCTTCACTGCTGACACGTAATCATTTACTGCAGCGCTGCAAAAAGAATGACTAAATCAAGAAATGATATAAATAAGAATCAAGATATTATAACATTACTTACTGTGTTTTAATATCTTACCGAATGTTTTCTGGATTTACACCTAATATAGACGCAAATTTGTAGTAATTGAATTCAGAGTTAGTTGACACAAGAATGTGTTCGACCCAACCGGAATCGCCATTACATCCAATCTGCTTATTGCCATAGCCAAAAGGGTCGGGTGGTCCAGCTTTTTCTTTCTCAGAAAGGGGAGAGGAGAAGAATTTAATGGCTTCTGAAAGTTTAGTTATGAATTCCGTGGGGACGCTATGGTTAATGACTTTGAAGAATCCAAATTCTTCACAGGCCTTAACAATGAGGTTTTTAGAGTCAGGTTTAGAGAGGTCTATTAGTGGAACATTATTGAAGAATGAGGTTGGTTTGCAGTTGTCTTTGGAGAAGTGCTGATCCATGTTTGAAAAAAGTTGGATAGAACGAATAACTATATATGTGGGCAAAGAAATTGAACGATCAAAACTTTCTTTGGGTTGTGATTATCAGTGACAAGTATTTGCCGTATAGAACTACTATATGACTGTGTACTAGTTGTGAGTACTTTGATGCAAGCCCTGCTTTGCTACTTATAGGAACTCCGAGTCCAAACCGACGGACCCACATTATCAATGACAATAACGTACACATGATTTTAAACAAGCAACATTCATCTATTGTCAAAATTCGATGTATACACGCGTTTGATGAGTCTTAGCCACCGTTTCGTCGTGGATTTTTAAATTTATTCTAAAAAATCTAGTTTTGGTGAAGTTTAGTTTGAAAAAATATGAAACATGATTTATATTCACAAGTTCTAAAAATTATTACAAATACCCAACAATACCATTATCAATAACATTCATTATATTATCTCAAACCATAGTCCTGAACATAAATAAATTTGATACAAAATTATCATTTTTATAATGAACTACATGATACACTATCAGATGACCGAGAAGACGAAGCAACATCGTTACAAAATAATAAACGGTGGGCTCTTTTATAAAATACAAAAGTTTGGGGCAATTTTTAAAAAATATAATAGTGATATTTTGGCCCAAAACCAGCTATTGGGATTTGGGATTTGGCTAAAATATAGGCAAAATCTATAGCCAAACATGTGTTTGCCAAATAAAATCCAAGTTTATTTTGACAAAATCTATGGCCAAACGGGTCCTTGTAGTTGTGGGATTCTAAAGCTTTACTTCCTATTCCAAATTATATGCATGTCATTGTTATTAAAAATATAGAGAAATTAATAAGTAAATATTGTATATACTAAATAATTATATATTTCAACGAAGTGACATTGAATGAGGGTTAAATGTATCCACACCACACTATGCATTTGGTTGTACTGTAGACTTGCATAACATGCATCTTTTTTACCTAATACCAGACAACTTATTCGTCCTCTCCTAATTACCATGTTCTCGAAATATAATTTAGACGAAATGAATGACTTAAGAGGTCGTTTGATACAACGGTGGGATATCCAATGAGGTGAGATATTCTATGGGATTAGTTATCCCACCTTCTAAATGGGATAACTAATCCCATCATTTTGATGTAAAAGTTAATCTCGGAGTTAGTTATACTCCAAACTAAACATTGAATAAAATTAATCCTATTAGGATATACTATTAACCATGTGGTTTAGACATATTATTGTATTTTATTCTTTATGGAACAATTACTTATTTGACTTATTCAATTCAATAAAGTATTATTTTAAATATATCATTTGTTACATGTGTGTCATTTAGTTATGTAGGAGACAATTTAGTGTATGGAGTCTTAGCTCATGCACAGAAGATTAAATTATTGGTTCTCATAATTAATAAACTATGTTCACAATCGAAAATATTATTGGGCAAAATATCTTGATGATTGTAGCACAAAATTAAAGTATAATTTTTCTTGATTATGGGAGTGGTTTTACTCCAACTTCTTGTGCTAGTATACTTAGTGTATACTGAATGGATCAAGTAGAGAAAAGATATTTTTATACTGAATATATATATAAAATATTTTCTCTGATTCATTAAATGAGCTTATACTCTTAATCTTGATATAATTATTATGATCAATGTGATTTGTTTATTATTTTGATTCATCAAAAGGTACAACTCTATTCAGAGTTAGTGTATGCCTAATAGATTGAACAATAACGAATAGTGTTTGTGAAATAATAATTAGCTCATAGAATCCATGACTCGATTTTGAGTTTGATAATACCCCTTTATGTAAGCCTATAAGTTTTTATGTGAAAACACGACCGGTGAATTTTATATCCGTCACATGAAATAGTTTAAGCGAAATTATAAAGGATTTAATTAGTTGATTAAATTAAATTATCAGTGATTTAATTTAATTAACTGGTGTTTGTGATCTTAAAATTGGGAGTTAAAATAAGTGTTAGTGAATTTTTGAAATTCATATTGAGGAGTTCAATTGCTGTTTTTTAGTGGAATAAACTACAATTAATTATAGTAACAATTAATTCATGCAAATTTTTGAATTAGTGTTATAATTGGTAGCCTCTTATTGTTTCTGTGGGCCCTGCTATACCTTGTAAAAACTTGGACTGACTTGAGTTAAAAGTGACTTGGGAGAAAAGTCATCCTTGAGAGTTAGAGTAAGATTCTACTTGCACAAGCAGAATCCTACACGTTTTTGGAGCCCTCTTTTGGCTGAAAAACGATTCTACTTAATAACACACTTTTAGAGTTGTATTGTTCTTGAAGCAATTTCGTCCAAGGTCTTACTAGGACCATAGCAGAAGACTGTAGCCCTGGATTCTTGCTCTGTGGAGGACCTTGCAACGTTTTCAAGAAGTTAGTATTTTTAATATCCGAATTATATCATTGTCTAATTTACATGATTGCAATGCCTGGATTGTATGCTTGCTTCCGCTACGCATGTTCTAACAATTGGTATCAAACGCTGTCTTACATCTAACTAGATAATGTAATACAACATGAATAGAGTAATATTAAAACGTGTTGTTAAATAATGCATGTTTGGTATGATTATTCTATGAAAACAGTAGACACATAATACAATGTTGTTTTGTATGGTTATTCTATGTAAAAAATGTGACTATTTTCATTAGTATTTTAATTATGAAATTATGGATAAATATACGTAAGTATGAACAGTGATGTTTTGAACGGGTGAAAATAATATTTTTTTTCTATATTTGTTCCATATATATATA